AACCTCGGGGACATCTTGAACTGTCAGGCCCATTCCTTAGCTTTTTCTTTAAAAAAAAATAAAAATCTAACCGCATAAAAATGTGTCTGCAACATTGATGGGAAAACCTCGTTACTTCTACCATTTCAGCCTTCAAAGGGATCATCCATCACAGAACTAATTTCAGATTTCTTCCTTTTGCAATTATTTCCCCTGAAATGTCCTCCCTGCGCTTCAGTAAGATACTTCTATCAAGAACTCCAGTGCAGAACACACCGAATTGCTTCAATTAAGAGTTGGCCAATGCATCATCCGTGCAATGTTTCATGGGTGAAGTGAGCTCGCGTGTTGAAAAGTAAGAGAGAAAGGGGCTTTTTTTACCCTCTTAGGAAGGGGGCAGGAGGAGCTGGACTGGATCCACTCTTACCACCCTGCAATCATAGGCAGCTGGCCCAGTACTGATGGATCATTCACACTCCTTTCTCTAGGGCTAGGGACAGAAGTTGCACATAAACTGGTTCAAGTAATCAGAAACTGGTTTATATTTGTAACCAAACAGAAGTTCAGTGCACATGAACCAGTTTCAAAATGGCTGAAAGATAAACCTGGTTGAATGGAGTATCAGACTTCACTGATTTGGGTCAAACCGGTTTATGAAACTTCTGGCCAGACCCTAAAACAATGTGAATCCCACCTCGAATTTCCTGGCCAGAGACGCAGCTCTCAAATGACGGCTCATGGACCATCGTCACATTTGGGGAGCCCTGAAACATGGAACTGGAAATCACACTGTGAGATTTCCAACCACATCTCCCATCCTCCACGACTCCCGTGTGCCGTGCTTTAGACCCAATCCCATTGCCGCTAATATTTTGCCGGAGCGGGCATCTTATCTCTTGGGTCTCCTAAGTGTTTTCTCCATCCTGACCGTTGCTATGGACTCTTCTCATTCCCTCCAGAAGAACTGGTGTCAAACCGACCTTCCAGTCCTCATGCTTTTGCTGAAGAACAAGTTTTGTTTCTCCTTCTTCCTTAATTAATGGTGTCCATGTCTTCACCTTAATGCTGGAAGCCGCCTTGGAGGCACAGCAGTTTGCTGTTTGAGCAAGACTTTCTGCTCAGCATTTGCTCACTTCCATCATACTAACAACCCGTTATTTCCCAGTCACCATATGCCGTTGCTAAGTGACAAATGGACCACTTACCTGGCAGAAGGGACAACAGAAACATGCGGCAATTTGGGACCATCCATTATCCCCTGGCTGAAATTGCATGGTCTTTATGAGAGGAGGGAGAGCTTTGACCTGAGGACATGCCGAAGGGTGACTTTTGAGGGACCGCACTTGAATTCAAGCCAGGTGGAAGCAAGACTCGTGGACAGACAAGGGGCCTCTAAAGCAACAACAACAACAAAACTTCTTTAATTGCAAGTTTTTGGGCACTGACACCCTTCATCAGGCATCAGAGAAAAGATTGTAACAGTTCTCCTGGGTAGAAATGAAAGTTGGTATTTCATGGGAGAGTTGAAGGATCAACATCTGGATAGGGCCACAGCTGGAGTGTGCAGCTGCGTGCAGCTGCTTGGTGGGGGGAATGGATGTTCTTCCATTCATACCAACATATTTAATGCATGTAAATAAGGGAGACATTTATTCTCTCTGCCATTTAGCTGATATTAAGCAGAAGCTTGTTCTGTCCTTTATTTCATGCTAGACGTTGTGAAGAATATTCTGGTGTTATTTTCCACCCCTTTCTCCCTCGCTCCCATGCATGCTTCTCATAGCCTCACATTGTGATCTTAGTACATATAACTACAAGAAGGTTGATTGTGTCAATTTTAGGAATAAGTCGAAACAAGGACTTGTACGGGATGGCTTGGGTAGGGATGAGCCTACCTTGAGCAAGGGGATGACTAAATGACCTCCAAAGGTCCCTTCAAGCCCTACTTTTCTGTGATTCGGTTACTCAAAGTGCTCACCTCACTTTGTAAACTCGTTATACCTAATTAAGGGAGAGCTCAGAAAATAACTCAGCTTAATTCTGGCCTGTCCTCAAACTAACACTACATAAGGCAGCCTTGGGAGTTTCCATTGTGCTCTGAACACCTTCAAATCCAAGCAGCTGATGAGCAGCAAGGATCTCTCCAATAGCCTCCAGAGGCATGTCCTAGTTACATGTCGATTCTTCCTTCCAGATGTCCCCATCATTTATCTGTCCACCCGTGTTGCAGATGGCTAACCAGGGTTTCTTCTTCTCCCTTGTTCCACTCATATTGTGCGGTAGGTCTTGCCAACTGGAGAGAACATGCATGAGCACAGGCAATGCATATTCAAGACCATGAGAGAGGCCTGGGAGCTGAAAGAG